CGTGACACAAACTCAACCTTCATAACTCGGGAACCAAACATCGAAATGACTCGAGATTTTTTCTTGTGACTTATAACACTGATTTCTAAAACATATTTGAGAAATTCCTTTATGCGATCTATAGTTTAGATTTTGATGTTTTGATGACGTCATGTGAAAACCAGCAATATACCTTATTTAGTTGTTTCTCATCAAATCCATCCAAAAGAAATATCACATCAGAGCAAAATTCTCTTGTATCTTTAGGTCCACAAAACAGGTCTGCTAGTATTTTCATGATTTCATTATTGGGAAGAAAATCGTATATCCCAAAGAATTTAAAGAAGTCCTGTAAAAAGTAACCAAAAAACAAGAATTGGAAAGGAAGGTGATTATCCTTCTTAATTTACCACTCTTTTCATTGCTATGCGCTGATCGAGACAACAGTCACAACAGGGAAATTGGGTAATACATTTCTGTCAATCAAATAAATTGGTCGGTAACTTTATATTCTCTAATTGGCGGCATCCGGATCAGCGCATAGCAGTGAAAAGAGTGGTAAACATTTTTGTCGTAGAATTCATAAACTGCACCCGGGGGGGTTACTCCCTTTGTTCAGGTGGTAGGGGTGATCGGCGGTCAATTTTTAAAATGGCCCCTAAAAGGTACACATAAATTAAAAAGGCTCTTAAAAACCAACCTGATTTCAAACCCTAAAAGGTACAGCTTTATTTCTGGAGTAATTTACTATTAACCCCGGCTATCAACGCCGGTTTAACGAATGACAGGACAGCGTATAATAAGATCATAACGATGATCATATCAAAGAAATATTTAGTGCATCATTGTAAAGTAAACAGCGGCATAGCACACACAACACGCATAATAAATGACCCCAAAAGGTACAGAGTTATGTTAAGTAATTGACTTTTGAGCAGGAACCCCTAAAAGGTACACACAGGGAACATTTTCAACCCTACCACCTGAATAAAAGGGAGTACCCCAGGGGGTTAAGCACCAATAAACATAATAGATATGTCAGCTCATCTAAGGTGCGGGGAGGGGGAAGGAGTGTGTGCACCCTTGCACCCATCCCTTAGATCTACATTATTATATATGTATTCAGATCCAATAAAATTTACCTCAATTTCTGGCAGAAATATTGCCAGTAACTTTATTGGACTTTCAATGTATCCTACTGTAGCAACCGGACCCAGTGCAAACATAGTTTTCACTTTTTTCGCAAGGTCCTTGTTATGGGAAAACTCTGCAAATGCTATCATTGTTCCTTGTGAGTGGCCAGCATAGTACAAGGTTGGTTGTCCAGTTTTCTTGAGAACGAAGTTTAACATTGCTGGAAGGTCATATTGTGCCATTTCATCCCAACTGTATCAACAAAAAATATAAATTTATTAAGGTTCTTATGTACATACTGTAAAATAATTCAACTTTTAAGTTTTAAATGGCAGTTTTCGATATGACATGAACTTATAGCATTCAAAATTCTAATTCGATCTTTGGGCTTTCACTTTAAGTTTGGAGCCTAGCTCTGTTGTGATTGTTGCACACTGTGATACAACAGCGAAAAAGGTTCGTAGATTTTGTAGCAGTGAGTTGTATGCCAAAAGTTGGTCTTCTGCTGCTATCAATAAAAATTAATCATTCTGCCGCTTGCAAAGAAAAAACTATTAATTAATATAGGGCAACTTCCTTGACTGCTTATACAGTCGACTCTCTTTGAACGACCATTTTCATAATAAAAAACAATAAAAAAATTAAGAACATAGAGTCATCGGGTATTAAAAACCCGACGAAATATTGACAATTATAGTACTGTAAACATATAGTACAGTTTACTAAAACAGTTTAATCGTTAATACAGTAGTTTTAGAACGTGAGTTATATTTTATAAATGGTTTAGGCTTCGTCCTGTGTTAGGATTCCCATTGTTTGGGCTTCATGTGTTAACTCTCTAGTAAGCGACCATCTCCCGTAAGCGACCACTTTTTCCTGGCCTCTCCTGTAGTTTATGGAGAATTAAACACACCAGGAACAAAGTCAGAACTGTCTTAATTCAAACTATCAATTTAAATTAAATTTGATATTATTTTACATATTACTCACGTGAAGTTCCAGAATGCAGCAGAGCGAATAGAAAGATTAACATGCTTTAGACCATAAGTATTCCCTCGAGCATTCCCCAGCCAAACATCATAACCATTATCTGCCAAAATAAACCCAAGACTCTCATTGGGTAGATTGGAGACCCAGTTTGTCGAGGAGCACAGCAGACCATGCTGAAGGAACACGATTGGCTTTGATGGCTTATCTTTCCATTTTCCATGTCTTCCATAAGGAATGCGTTGTATATTTATAATGTAACCATCTTGGGTTAAAACATCATAGTTTTCAGAAGGGTATCCATTGTATTCTATCATTTGGGTCTGTAAACACAAAATATGTTTGTAAATTAAGTTAAAAATATACAAGTTTGGCTTTGAATGGCAGTACAACCATACATACAGTACCACTTGTTTAAATCCTTTTTTAAATTTCATAATCTGAAATGAAGGATGTCTGTAGAGGTTGAACATACCACGGCCCCTTACAAGGGGTCTAGCTCATATAATGATTTGAGGGCACTGTATATCAATATCAGGGCTGACTTAGATCAGCTTAGAGGATGTTTCACGGTTCGATCTATGAGTTAGCCATGCCCCGACATCAGGTATTGAGAAAATAATTGGAGGATAATGTCATATGTGCTGGCTTTTTACTCTCATCATCAAATTTTGATTTTGTCATGAAATGGCGCAGTGGTGTATACTGCACTTTATATACATAATGGAGACTTTATTTAATTGTTTGAAAACTATTAAGCACTTTATATAACCTTGTGATCACAGGCATAAAATAAGAATCCATTAAGAATAGCCGAAATAGATACAACCTGCAGCTTGGGATATAACAATGCTGTACAGTGTNNGGGGGGGGGGGGGGGGGGGGGGGGGGGAGGGGGTGTATATGGAGGTGTGTTTATAGTTTAGTTTATAGTTCAGATAACATATCACTATCAATGTTTGGGTTATTTAAGGTAATTTAAGGTAATTTCCATTAACTGGTCTATCTTCCCGGCAAATGTTTAGCCATGTTTAGTTATAGCATAAATGTCATTCAAATCACATTGAAACAACCTAGACTTTAACTAGTAAACAACACAGTCAAAATTCTTGCCTTGAATGTTCATAGCATTTAATCATGTTAATCTATTTTTCTAGATTATTTTGTATCAAAATTTGGTTCTTTAAGATATCCTTAAAAAACACACTTGAGACTTGTATGTATTGTATTTCCAGCGAAATATAAAGTCTTAAATATGAAGCAATCACGGAGAACTGTTGTCCGAAGGAACAATGAGGTCAGCTCTAGTCTTTTAACCACAATACAGCTGTAAATTCATTGGAGATCGTTAATATTACTCAACAATAAACTTACTCTTCTACTACATTTAGTCATTTTAACTATATCTTTTTTTACCGGTGAAGGTATTTGAGATCAGGATAACATCAATCTTCATTGATTACGAATGTATAAAGCTTATATCCAGATAGGGAAGCATCACTTACCACATTCATGTGCACTTCAGGCAACTCTCCATACAACGTAAAACCATTACAACTCCACAAACTCGCTAATAGAACCAGAAGAAGCATAATTGTTTGGTAAAAATAAAATCCAATAGAAAATAAAAATGTTATAAAATTCGAAGCCTTGTGAAAGAGTTTTTGAAGGTCGTCCAATGTTTACTTGGAAGGTTGCACAATAAACAGACCGTCAGACATGTGATTTGATGGTGGAGTTTGATTGGTTGAAGGACGTGGTTCGAGGGACACTGGTGAAAAACGCACTGCGCATGCGTTGGGAGAAAAAAAACAAAATGGCGGACAATAACAATCGATCACGACTAAAGGTAGGTCCCACCTCAACCTACAGGGCTATCCCTCAAATATTCCAGGGCTGTAACCAGGGGAGGAGCACAGGGTGCACGTGCACCCCCGCATAAAAGCTTAAGGTCCGCTCATCCATCTCCTTTCTTTTTTTTTTGGTTCTGCTTTCTTTTGGTAACCATTTTTTTTCTTTTTGGTTCTGCAAATTATTGCCTGTGCACCTCCCTGCAAGATCCCTAATTACGCCACTGAGTTGGTAATAAAAAAAGCGATCAGTGGTCCGATTTTATTCGATGTGCACCCTCCCTGTAAAAGTTGTGGTTACGGCCCTGTATTCGTTTTGGAATGTTACAGATATTCAGGGCTGTCAACCCCCGAGATATTCAAATCTGGAGAATTGATAGGGAAGGGACATGACGACACAGCGCTTCAAAAAAACACGCGAAAAGACGTCTTTCGCTTTGTAACATTTTATGTGATTGGTTTATTTTTGACCAATCAAATTATTGCTTATATTACAATGGCCTGCTTGCAAGAACATTTTATGAGGAACGTTTTGAYTTTGTTAGCGATTTAAAATAACACAAACAACACAAAATAATTGGAATTTTATGGTTGTGAAAATCGAGTCTTACAAGAAATGGTCAGCTTCGGGGATTATCCGGTAGATTTGAGACTCTAATCTGGAGACCGGGAGATACGGTCAAAAATCTGGAGACTCCCGGTTTATCCGGGAGAGTTGACAGCCCTGGATATTATTGGATTTCTTTACATAGATTCCGACCATGTGATTATCTGCAAATTAGCCATGCTGGACGTCGACGTCGGGCCGCGAGTGGCGACATTTTCAAAGATTATCTTTGCTTTGTATTAAACAAAGTTTTTTTTGTACAAATCAGCAGTGTATCACAATCGAAATTATCTTGCTATTGCGAAAAGCAGTGGCGGATCTAGGGGTGGGTTTTGGGGGTTGCAACCCCCCCCCATGAGAGCCATCGTGATTTGTTATTATTATTATTATTTTCATGACAGCACCAACAGCATCGCGAGTTTTATTAAAACAGGGGTGCCGAACACATTTCGCTTGCTTTTTTTCTACGCCGTGTGTGGGACATTAAACAACCATGCTCGCCTGCAGTAAATAATCTCAATTATGATGCTACAACCCCCCTTTAAAAAGTCCTGGATCCGCCCCTGGAAAAGGACAACCTTAAGTTTTCAGTATTTTTCTTAAGTTTTGCGATTTTGTAAAACAATCAAAACACCGGCATCAAAAATATAAGTTGCCCTTAAATACGCTACGCCATCTCCGAGTGTGCGCAGTGCGTTTTTCACAAGTGTCGGTTCGAGGTCATACCAGTCTTTTGCTATCATCATCATAATCATTACCATCATCAAGAACCACGAACTTATTTCATTTGCATTTTAGATTATTGAAAGAAATTATCATCGTCTGATTGAAATACGTTCATTGTCAATCTCGTACCCAGAGCCTGCGTTTCTTCGGGCTTGCGGCGAAGAACGAGGGCTCGGACATAATCCACTTTTTGAGTCAAGATTTCTTAGACTTCCGGTATGAGCGCATGCGCTCAAACACTTGCCAAAAATTAGGGAAAAAATGGTTCCTGATTTCTGATTTTTATTCTGATCGAAAGTAAACACAAAGCTCTGTTTGAAAGCATGATTTTCATTGATTACATTTTACTCCTGGAAAATTGTGCCACAGGCTCTGATGCATGGGTACGAAATTGGTCTATTGTACGAAGCATCCCTATGAATGCGCATGCGTAGCATTACGGGTCAGAATTATTTTATTTTATTTTTCAGCTTTAATTTGACATTAAAAAGAACTACTACGAAAAAAATCTGAGGAAATAGCTTTTATTAAGATTTAAAAATCCTGGATCATAAAACAGACTTCCAGGTGATCGGTTCTATCAGAGAACGAATTAGCCAATCATGTTTTGTTCGTATTGCAAGATTCACTAATTCCAAGTTAGGAGTGGCTCAGAAAAATCGTCTTTAACTTGAAAACATAGAAAATAAAACGTCTCCGTGAAAAGATTTACCAAATGACTTTTAGAAATAGAATATTTTGTCGTCGTTGGTGGAAAAGATTTCATTTTATCAAGAGATAATAGAAAACACTTGGTACACTTTCGCTGTGACAAACAATGCCTTGCGCGCCTTGTTTTCAAGGTTTCAAGGTTTTTATTATTTCCCAGAATGAACATTTTATACTTTACATATCACTGTTAAAACATTTAACTGGGMGGAGAAGAAAAAAACAACCCTAAAGGGTTAAGAGAATATTTCTGCACCTTGGAACTATATAATACTTTCAAATAAGAACTTACAAGGGGGAAAAGTAGCAAACTAAAATAGATTCAATACACATAAAAAGTTAATAAAGTGAAGATTGAACTAAATTAAAGTAGGAAATAAAGTTACGTTACAAAACAAAACCTAAATAGAATCAAAATTCTAAAGCAACAGATGTTTTTTAAGCTTATTTTTAAAGACTTTATCTCCCTGGTTGGATTAAAATACGAAAATGAAAAATATAATTATCTGTCTATCACCTAAATGATTGACAGATGACAAGGCGTGAATAGGTTGCGGTTTATTCTTGAAAATCTGTATACAAACCGAGTTGTAAAACCCGTCCTGAATCGGATCTCCCGGCTACAAAGCAAACATAATGGGCTTTTTCGAAGATACGGCGGCCATCTTGGATCGCAAGGTATCATGGGGCGTCCAGGGGGCAAATAAAAAATTTGCTATAAACAATTCTTCACAAGAAAATACAACAAAATTAAAGATGAATTAAGACGGCACATAGATCACCTTCTCCCATAAAAGATAGACAAACACACGACACTTTATATATTTCCCGTCATCTTTGTTTTGTTTAACCCCCTGGCAAGATGGCCACCATATCGTCGTGATAGTTCATTAATTATTTAGCTAATAATGATCATTAAAAGAAGCTAATAATCCAAGCTCACGCATTGATTCGCTGTTGATCATTCTAGTAATTAATTTTTTTCTTTGATGCGTTTAATAATATCCTGATAGACTTCAGTGGCCGCATCCATTCCCCATACGAAGTCCAAATGCTCCCATTCTTTTATATATTTGTTGCCAAGGTATATTTTATGTGGTAGCTTTGCCATCAAAGATTTGACGTCTTTCGGATCGGCCAGGACATCGTTTTCTGCCCAGTAGATAAATGTAGGGACGGCGAGTGATGACACGTTGTACTCAGGAGGGGTACCCTAAAGCAATATGCACGACATCAACAGTCATCAAGATTACTGTCAGCTTACTAGAATTATTCGCACCGTCACTCCATTCATCTTATATATTCTTTCATGCATCCATAGTCATCTGTGTGGCCATCCATCCATCCATCCATCCAT